CCCAGCGAGGCCTGCCCGGGGTCCGCCGGCGGGGCTGGGTGCAGGGGCTGCCTGCTCTGCCAGGTAAGCAGGCGAGGAGGAGGATGCAGAGGCAGAGGCAGAAAAGGCTGCTGGACCACGCCGCCTGCCAGGCCTGGGAGGGACCCCGCGAGCCCTGCGTCTGCTCCTTGTTCCTCCGCTGTCAGCACATTGCTGGGGAACCCTCTGGCAGCAGCGCGCGCGTGTGCACGCCTGTGCGCGCGTGTGTGCGAGCGGAGGCCGGAACCCGATACGGCCCCTGGTAGCCGACCCGGCGCAGGCCTGGGTGACGTCTGCGATGCCGCCCTGTTCCGACCTGCCCCGGGTGTCCCTGGCGCCGGACTCCGCCGGGCTTGCATCAAACAACACATGCGTGTGCGATAGTGCATGCGCCTGTGCGTGGAGCTGGCGCCTGCAGCAGGGGCCTGCCCTAGCGTGTGCCCCCCTGGGCCCTGTGCCGGGGCACGGTTACACCCCAGGGCTCAGTGAGGCTGGGGCTGCACATGGTCGGGGCTGCGGAAGGGCAGGTCGGGGCTCTTGGCGTTGCAGTGGGGGTCGTGGGGCAGGAGGCGGGGGGCAGAGGCACGTGGGGGCACAGGTGCGCAGAACCTGAGAGCACGGCCTAGGTGTTTGAATCAGGGACGCAGCAGAGTGCGGACCCTGGGGCTGGACATGTGTGCACCCACGTGTGAGGCAGTGACAGCTGTCACAGTGCGTGGGGGCACGAGTTGGCAATGACATCTGGGCAGGAGCTGCTTCCCCCTCGGGCTGAGGGACATGCTCAGGGACACACAGGACATCAGTGGCAGGGAGGGGAGCCTGGTGTCCCGGGCTCCAGGCCAGTTCCCTTAGGCTGGGGGTGGGGGTCGAGGGGCATGCTGGGGTGCAGTGTTTGGCCCCCGGGGGCATGAGGGAGGGGCAGAAGTTTGCAGGTCTGGGCTCTAACACCCCTTGCCCCCTCCGCAGGAGCTGATGTCGGGCGGCCGCAGGGAGAGGTCCCGGATGGCGGAGGAGAGCTCGAGCGGCAGCAGCGGGTCCCCCAGCCCCGGGGACACGCTGCCCTGGAACCTGGCCAAGCACCAGCGCAGCAAGCGCAACAAGGCGTCCGCGGGCAACGGCACCGTGCTGGACCCGGCCGAGCGCGCCGTGATCCGCATCGCAGGTAGGTCCTGGTGCGGGGCGCGGGGGCTGCCACGTGGACGTCGGAGATGGGGGTGTGATGGGCAGGGGGATTGCGGACGGTGCGGGCTGTGCCAGGGTGACGGTGTCGTGTTGCTCGGAGGTCGGATGTGGGGTTTGTCTGGGCTGGTTTGCGCAGTCCTGCCTTGGGACTGGATGTGACCTTGGGGGTCTCTCCGGCCCTGCTGCTCTGTGTCTAGGGTTTCTGAGCTCTGCGGGCCCAGGATCGGGCTGCCAGGGTTGCAGGGTGACTCTGCAGCTGCGGAAGGGCAGGCGGGATCCCGGGATGCACTGGTGCGGCGGCTTCCAGGGGGTGGGGAAGGCTAGTGCTGGGGGGGCATCTGGATCCCACATGCCCACACGGCTGGGAGAGGGGTCTTGGCTGGAGCAGGGGCCCCAGGGAGGGGAGAGGAGGAAGGAGCAGGGGGAAGGCCCTGGTGCCAGGGCAAGCAGGGTGGCAGGTGCAGCAGGGCCTGGGTGTGAAAGCTGCGCCACGGGGCCGGTTGGCGCAGGGGCACAGAGGTGACAGTGAGTTGTTGGTGATGTTTGTGAGCGATGCGGATGTCGTTGCGTGGTTGGTACCCGGTGTAGAGCCTGGCTGGGCGGCGTGGAGAGGCGGGGGGAGGCTGGAGTGGCCAGCTGGGGTGCACCGAGGCTGCAGGGTCACAGCTGCTGGGCCCGACGCAACCTGGGAGCGCCGGCACAGCTAGGGCAGGGTCGCTGCTGCACGCAGCACCCATTGCCCGCGGTGCCAGCTCGTGCTGAAGAGCCCACGTTCGACATCGGGGAAGCATGGTCTACTGAGCTTCCGGGTGCCCGGGCCGTGGCCTGCAGGTCCTGGGGTTGGGGGAGGTGACCTCTGACCCCGGAGCGCTCCCTGCCCCTCTGGAGACAGACGAGGGTGTGGGTGGGCGAGCGGCCGGGGGACCCGTGTGGGGTTGGGGAGCGTGTGGCCCCACGGTTTCCCCGAAGCCCAGTGCTCCCTAGCGGGTCACCAGGCATCAGCGCTGCCGGAGGAGAGTGACCTCCCGGGAGCCCGGGTGCCAGCTCGGGAGCGGGGGGAGCCCCAGGGAAGGTGTGAGGCTGTGGGGCTGCAATAGTGCCCACCCACGCATCATCCTGGCCCTGCCTGGGGTCTGCTTGCAGTGCCAGCGGCTGCCGTCAGAGGGCCTGCGACGCGCAGCAGCGGGGTGGGGGGGACTGGGCCTAGCCGCCGGGGCTGGCGCGCTGCCTGGCGCCGGGCTGTATCGAGCGCCCGTCTGCCGGCATGGGGGGGCAAGGAGCTGCGCACGCACCTGGCATCAATAGCCCCTCGGGGATGCAGGCAGCCCGGAGCTAACGAGCTGCCCGGAAAGCTGCGTGGGCTGTCTGAGTGCGCGCCCGGCCTGCCTGCCCCGGGGTGTGGGGATGCCCCCGGGGATGGGGCGTCACAAGCTGCCCTTGGGCAGGCGCGGAGAGCCAGGCCACGCTGCCCTGGCAGGCGTGGATTTGGCCCCGTGCCCCGTGGTGCTGCGATCCCCGGGCGGGCGCTGCGCTGCGCTGCGCTGCGCTGCGCGGGGCCACGTCCCTGGAGGCTGGCAGCAGTCAGTCATGGGGCTCTGGACTCCGCGCTATGGGGGCGGATTTTTTCCACTGTCTGTCCTTGTCCTGCATTTAGCAGCCGCCCACGCGGTGCTGCTCCGGGGCCCCTGTCCCAACCCCATTGCATCAGGTCCCAATCCTGTGCCCCCTGTGCCCTCCAGCTCACGCGCCCGCCCCAGCGTCTCCCCTGCCCGCGGCTCTGCGGC